TTGGCCTCCATAAAGTTGCTTAAATTTTCTTGTCTTTGGTATTTTTGTCTTTAAAATACAGTGAAAGTCCTACTTGTTCCATTCTATGAGATGACTTCTAAATACCTATAATGGTAATATACAAATAGTAGATTCCTTGCTTTCTCTTATTACATTATTTATACTATAGCTACAGCATTATACTTTAGTGCACTTGAGGGTCTTAATAATAAAATATTGGCTACTGTACATGGGCGGCATTCTATTAGTAGGCTCAGAACTGCTAAGTAGTCTATATAGATTATTTTTGTTTAATTCACCAAAACCAAACACATGATTCTTTAACCCCTACCCAAACCCAGTTTTATAGATGAGGAAACTGAGACCCAGGAATCACAGTTAATTTGCAATTCCATATCCATTCTATTGCAAATCCTGTGCTTTTATCTTGTCAAATGGGTCCCTGACAAACGACTAGTAAACAGCGTGTCAGGATTTGAACCAAATATGAATTCTAATCCCAAGGTGTTAGCTGTAAGGCTAGACTCTAATTTATAATTCTTTGTGCCTAGATTAGCTATTGAATACCAGGGTCTGATATGTGAGTAAAGAATGCTTCAATGAGTGTATGGATGAAATATATCCATAAAACATACAAAATATGTACATACTATTTACAAACATATGTACAAACTCATATTTATGAACACTATGATTTTCTCTGGCAAATATTATAGAATTTAGAACAGCTAAGAAAACGTTTCAGGTATTTCCTGTATTGTGTTGGCAATACCATCTTAACAGCTCTCCTTTGTTTATGTAATTTTGAATAAAAAGAAAGATTTTCAACTCACTTCAGACTTATAGCAAGAATAATCCCACATTAATAAACTGCCATAGACATCATTTACTTTGACAACATAAAAATCATACATGTGATGAGATAATTTATATACATTGTCTCTCTTAATGGTCAGTTTTCCTATGAGATTACCTCATGAAGCATGCCTGTTCATCTTTATTTTATAGAAAGGAAACAGGTGCAGGAAAGTTGGCTCATTTACCTAAGGTGTTACAGCTAATAACTTTCAGAACTATATCTTCAACCCAGGTATCTGACACCAAAAAATATTCCAGCTCCAACTTCAATGCACACATTGCCTGCACTGATGTTGATCCGTCTCTTTGGGATGGCAAATGTTCATCATATGACGTAGATTTTTCTTTTGAAATACCCAAGTGTGATTTGGAAACCAGTGTATAAATAAACAATCTTTGTCAAACTGGCTCAAAGCAAGATATGACTATAGAAATAGAGATTTTCCATTGTGGCTTCAAAATTGTGTTCTGTATGCTATCAACTCTCTCAACCCACTTCCCAACACACATGCTCTCATAATATCAGATTAGATAAAGGTTGTAATAACAAATCATGATATTTCTGTCTCATCTGGGCTGAAGCAATGAAGCAAACTGACATTAAATTTTCCTTCTTTCTGCCTTCTTTCTCCACTTGGACCATCACCTGAAAATTCCCAGCTCAATTTAACTGAAGGTTGTACTGAGGGACCAAAGGCTAAGACATTTGTAGCTTAATGCATGACATAGATGGCAGGACTTTGATGAATTGGACAAATGAAACACTCCGTTCTGTGAAGGAGTGCCTGTCCAAACTGTCAGGGTAAGGGTGGGGATGGTAGCTCTAGCTCATAAGCTGCTTGCTAAAATCTGCAGCACATGTGTGTAGAGCCCTGAGATTAACCAAAGGAAGTGCTTCAGAATCATGAGTCAAGTGGCACCTGATGACACAGCTGCCCAGTCCGACTTAAAATATGCTCCAACCAATGCTTTCCTGAAACTCAGCTTCCTCCTCTGCTAAGGTAAGACAAAGACACCTATCTCTGAGCATCACTGGGATAAGCCTTATTAATTGTTTTGTAATGATCAATGTAATAAACGGATCATAGGTGACCTTTAAATGGTAGAGAACATTATTGCTGTATTAAGTCATATATATATCCAATATATAACATTATATAATAGTAGTCACTACAAAGTGCCAATTCAGGTTGAATTAGGCAAGACAAGGTAACAGAGAAGTCTGATGTGGTGGGGGGCAGTGTACTAATAAAACCAGGTAGCAAGGAAAGAACAAAGAGAAGAATTGTTTGGTGGTTGAGAGCTAGGATTCTTGTCAGCCAGATCCTCTTTCTGCCATTTAGCACTTGAATGACCGTGGTTAAGTTAGTTAACCTTTTAGGCCCAGTTTCCCTATCTTTGAACTAGACACTATATTGATTTTATCTAATAGATTTTCTGCAACCATGTATATACGTATATGTGTATATATAAATATATGCATATAAATTTATACAGATTTCAATATATTAAATAACATGTTTATGTATTCTTTAAATATATGTGCATATATTTAATATGCAATATGTATTATTAAATAGATATTTAAATCTGTGTATATTAAAATTATGTAAATCACTTAAGTGCCTGACACACAGTGAATCCTCAACCAATATTACTTATTTACCATTACTATTCATTAAGCACTACGTAATACCTGACACATGATCAAAACATCTAAACTAATTCTCTCCACTGGCTATACCTCTAAGTTCATTTGTGTTTTTTCTCTAGCACAGGATAATTTACTTCATATGTCGTGCCTAACTTTCCCTACAGTGACTGTTCTAGGAGAATCTGGTAGAAAACTACAAGGCCTCTTATGACCTATCATTAAAAATCTCACAATATCACATCTCTTAAATTCTATTGGGCTAGCAAGGCACTAAGGCCAGCCTGAGTTCAAAAGAGCAAAACCATATACCACCTCTCCACGGGGAGTAGCAGCAAATAATCTATAGCCATCTTTAACTTATCTCAAGGAGCAAACCCATAGTGAAAAGCTTCCTTAGTCTGCTTGGGCTGCCATGAGAAAATAGCATCAACTGGGTGGCTGAAACAATGGCAATTTATTTTCTTACAGCTCTGGAGGCTGGAAGCCACAAGATCAGGGTGTCGGCAGGGTCCTGTCCTGGTGAAGTCACTCGTTCTGGCTTATAAGCTTCTGACTGTGTCCTCGTGTGGCCTTCCTTTGTGAAAGTTCACTCTTTCTTCTTATAAGACTACCAATCCTATCAGATTTGAACCACATCCTAATGATCTCATTTAACCATCTTAAAAGCCCTGTCTCCAAAGATGGTCACATTGGGGATTTGTGCTTCAGCTTCTGAATTTTCAGTGGGCAGAATGCAGTCAATAGCAACATCCGAAAGAACAAGACACACATAACATCTCTTGAGCAATTGTATCCAGTCATGCCTGAAGCTATGTCTACCACCAGAACTCCTTAATGAGAACCAACACGTTCTACTTTGTTTTATATAAGCCGATTTTGATCAGTTCTTCTGTTATCTGTAAAAGAAAGTGTCCTGGTTGATACAACAGGCAACTTTTTAGTGCCACCTTACAGGTCGCCAAGGGCAAGAATGGGATTTATTAGAAGAAATTAGAGTCCAAACAGAAGCACACATGGGAAATAGCGACATCAATGAGTTTGCAGGATTTGAGGACATAAGGCTACAATGGCTTAATTCCGAAAGGTCATCTGTTACTAGCTTGAAGCTACCTTTAAAACACAGGATATGAACTTTTAAATTTACTTAGAAAGTCTTTAAGGCATATTCAGTACCTGACAATCAAAAGCAAAAAACACCACAATTGAATCAAAACACCTTCGAGCATGTAACATAGATGCCACTTAGAAACTCTTGAGTTTGATTAGAAATGTATTTATTCACAAGACTGATGATATTCAGTTTCTTCTCTTTATGAAAGAGGAAAGCAATGGCCAGAGAATCAAAGCAATGTTTGCATCATGGAGTACAAAAACACTAGCTTTTACAATAAAGACCTTGAGTCATACTTAACATAAGCATAATGTTTCCTGCTTTTCAGAAAGCAGCAACTCTGCATTTATTATAACCCTGTCCTCACTCTGATTATTCACTTTGAAGAAAGGACAATGAGGGTAAGCCTGTGGCCCAAAAGGCAAAAAAGAGGGTTTTCAGGCATAGGTAGGGAAATAAGGGAGTATCTCCAAACAACAAAGGTGACTTGAGCTTTACTAAGGTAAGATGCTGAGAATAGATGCCCATTAATCCCTGTCAAATGGGTCACAGGTACCTCTGTCAAACAAATGTGTGGCTATGTACCTAACGGTGTGTGCTCAGCCAGGATATTGAGGCACAGGGAGCAATACATCTCCCTGCCGCCCTTCCTGCCCCTGCTGAATGCGTTAGGTCAGCATCCTACACTGACTGCGGAAAAGAAAATGACATGTGCATAGAACAACATGGAACGGAAATAAAAGTCCTTGAGCAGAGACAGATGAGAAAATGTATTTTATATGGTATGTTAAAGAAGGGACAGAAAATTCAGCAGGTTTATGCTCTTAGAGGCCTAATAAACTGACCAAAAATAAAATAATTGTTCTAATGTTTATTATATGATAGTTTTCTCTTAGAAGGATACTCGTTAGCCACTTCTTTCATAAAAAGGATCACTTCTTTTTATATAAGCACTAATCATGTTATATATTTGTTAACCTAAGATTCTCCCCTTCACTTCTAGCCTCTCTCTTCCTCTTTCTCTCTCTCTCTCTCTCTCTCTCTCTCTACACACACACACACGCACACACACATTCATGTATTTATTTCTTAATATCATCCATACTTAGTTTACATGTGTTAACATTCTCACGTATAACACATGTAAACTAGGTATGGATGATATTAAGAAATAAATGCATGAATATGTATTGTTACAAGTGACTTCATCCTTTTATTTCTGCCTTGTATTGTTTCTCTCTGTTAAAGCCCTGATTTAACAATTGCCAAAAATTCTGCAGTTTAAATGTCATGGGCTAAGAACAAAAAGAATGGATAAGATAAAAATGTTTGGAAAAGTGGGGGGAAATCTGAAAATTTTAATAAAAACTCAAATTTGTGCTCGCCCTGGCAGCACATATACTAAAATTGGAACAACACAGAGAAGATCATCATGGCCCCTGCACAAGGATGACATGCAAATTTGTGAAGTGTTGCACATTTTTTCCAATTTGTAATAAAGCTTTTTTTAAAAATTAAAAAAACCCTCAAATTTGTTAGAATGTTTAGGGAACTGGGAACCTGGGGAATTGGATTTTCTGTCTATGAACTCCCTTATTTCAGCTGTCATCAGAATGATTGCAAATACCTAAGTCCCTAGTCTTCCTTCATCAACCTAACATGATTGCATCTCTGCTTAATGAGTCTGAGTTTTTTGAGATCTTGGGCTCATCAGTGTTCACTATGTGGAATTTGATGTTGATATAAACGTTTTAGGAGGTAGAGTTTGTTTACTTCTGAGTTTAGAATGCAAATACCCATGACTTTTTTGGTTTTGGTCAAATCTCAATATACTTACATTTGAAGCATCAGAAAATATTAGAGGGATTTCATAGTAATATAATATCAGTGATTATTTACAGTTTACTATGCATTAGGTATTGTGGTAGTTTTTCATGTGCATTACCTTATTTATCTCTGAAAGCCACACTAGGAGTTTGACACTAGGAGTCATTTTTACAGATGATGAACTGCTAGGCTAGAGCAGAGCTTCTCAAACATCAGTATTCTTTCAAACCACCTTGTGGATCTAATTAACATGCCAATTCTGAATCAAATACCTTGTTTCAGGCCTGAGATTCTGCATTTCCAACAGGTTCCTAGGCCAATAGCAAACACTAGGGGAAAAGAGGACCTTGAAACATTCCAGCCCCTTAGCTAGTTGAGAAACTAGACTAGCACTTGTGAATTCAGGTAACCACCCTTGACCACCATCAGGTTCAGCAAAATTCCATGACGTTTCTAGAATTCCTTCCCTGTATATGGCAGACACTAACATTGTACTCCAGCATTCTCCCCTTCCTAGCCAGGAAAATGAACCCACATTTCTTCTCAATGAAAAAATTAAAAAAACTGACTGGTAATAAACCAATCAGAACTGACCTGTACCATGAATCTTGTTTTCATGATGCTACAGCTTCTATTTTGGCCAAAAGGATTACATGTCAGTCTTCCTTGAAAAAAAAAAAAGTAAATCAGTTGTTTCTAAAATTATTATTTAAAATGAATTCCATGAGAAGGATAGATTCTTGTAGTGATATATGAAAACAAAAGCAGAAAATAATATCTATAATTTCACTACTCAGAGACAAAGACTTTGCAGATATTTATTCAATTATTTTCTTGTGCATGAGGTTTTGTTTTACATAGCTTTGATTATACAGTATACAAAGTTTTGTGTTCTGATAAAATACATTGTCTTTTTAAAAATGAATACATACTACTCCATAAAGCAGTTACATCATGAATGAATTGAAAATTGTCTATATGAGCTTCTTCTCCTGATTTTACTATTAATTTTCTAATTTTACTCTTAATATAAAGCTAGGAATAATATATTTCTGCCAGGCTTTTCTTCTGTAAATCAACTTTATGTCAATTTATTGATGAGAACATTCTAAAGTAATTCTGTCTCTTTTTGTTTTTCAATTTTGTATGTGCTTCAAAGGAGTGGGATGGGCCCTTTGAAGTGTGCATTTGACATACTTTATATTTTTCACTGATTCACTGCGCCCATTATTTATACTTCCCGCTACCTGATACACATTTGGTAGGTTTTTGTTTTCTACCCAAACATATATTCTATCTCAGCAATTGTGCTTTAACACAAAAACTTCTGTTTGAAGAGAGCTCTGGGTACAAAAAAGTAAAAGAATTGAAATAATTATCCTTTCAAACCTTTCTTTTTTTCAGAAAAACTTAGCTCAACATGAATTCTGTTCTTGATTTGTACTTCACCAACTTTCCCTGCTGCCCACGGCTTGATTAAAACACAAGAATGTAATTATCTGTTAATTTGGAGTCTGAACTGATTAAAATAGAAAGAACTTGCACAAGTCAGAGGTTATCGCTGTGCATAATTAATTGTCCAACATCATCTTAATCAACATCTCTTCAGTTTGAGCATCCTGAATTTCTTGGACAGTAAGGGGGAGGAGAGATGTGTGATTTAATCAACTATGCCTGAGTTGTCAGAAATGGATTTGGGAGGTGTCATCCCCCAGTTATTAAAGAAAGAACTGAAGTGTTTCATCCTTCAGTGACAGGTCATGCATTACCAAGTTTGTAAGATACAAAGCGCATTATTGAAAACAAGTTTTCCTACACGTGACTAGCTTCAACTGGATTAACAAATTCAAGTACTAGACCTGAGAATGAAAAGTGTGCACAAATGAACGTAATCTAACATGAAATGAATTATTAGCCACAAAAAGACATGGATTTTTACAATTGTTAGATTTGTTGTGCTATTACCAAGGTGCATTAAAATATAGAATCTGTCCTTTTTAAAAAATCACAATAATGTCACATTTTCATAAACATGTCATAGGGTCAAATCAAATAAGAATAAAGAATGTATTTTTCAGGCAAAGCCCGACCATCTGCATTCAAATAATAGAAAATCCTGTTCATGCTCTAGAATGCTACATGGACTATCTGTGGATTTTTAGCATGGGGTCACAGAATGAATATGCCATTTTTTCCTTATTTAATTAGCATAACAATATGTTAAGGTAGAGATGATTGTTCCCATGTTACAAAGGTGGAAACTGAGATTTAGAGCAACTAACTGTCTTTATTACTTTTAAAATGAATTAAAAGTAATTTATTATTACTGACTTGCTTGTAGAAAGCAGCCCAAGTTGAAACTCGTGTCCTTTTGTTTCTGCCAATCCTGGATATGGTGTGAAGTCTGCTACAATAGGCAAGCATTCCTGTGTTGCTTGATCACAGGTGTACATTGCTTTGATTCTTTCATCAGCTTCTTCTCTTGTTTTGTTTTGTTTCGTTTTTCGGCTCCTTCAATTTGCCGAAGAGTCTTTGAATAGTCATGTCACTAGACATTTTGGGTTATTTTTCATGAGGCAGAATTATTGCTGTTTTTCCTTTTTTTTACTGATCTGTCTTTCCAAGTGAGTATGAGTATTTGTGGTGAAGTTTGTGTATTTTCTTTATGATTCCAATAACTTATATAAGCATCCAGCTCATAAAATATGTTTGTACAATAAATTAGTAAAATCAACAAATGTTTGAGTGGATTGATGAACAAACAACAGGTAGATAGATGGAAATATAAATGATTGGATGAACAGACAGATAGAGGAAAGTAGGCAAGGCTCCAAAGAGAAATTGAGAAGTAGAACATGTTGAGTTAACGCTGTGATTCAGCACTGGGTAAAAGAGAGCTGCAAGTTGCTGTAAAGTGTTGAAGGCTTTCCAGAAGCCTCTTCACCTTCTTGCCAGTTGTTTTATTACCACTATTATAACAGAAGAAGCTTTAAGGATGATCATTTATTCCCATGTGGTAATTATTAAAATAATAGTTTTTATAGTGTTTTGTCTTTTTTTATTGATGTATAATACTTGTACATATTTATGGCGTACATGTGATATTTTCTTGCATTCATAGAATATTGAAAGCAAGTAAGCTGAATGCTGGTTAAGTCTAAAGTTCAGGCAAGGTCAGAAATACACAGAGAAAGTGAAGGGCATAAAAAATAGATGGATCATGAAATGGGTTTGTGGGAGAGAACAACATAGTGGCAAAGTCCAGAGAGACAATTGTGAGAAATTTCGCTGACCTTTGGTATGCTTATATTACTAGCGGAGAACTCCGGACAGAGATTTCATAGAGCGCTGGGTTTCTGTCTCTCTTGTAGACCACCGCATTAGCATTTCTGAGTCACATGGCTACCCTGAGTAACATGCAAGTTTTTATGGATTCCTTAATTAACTGATAAGCCAGTTAATTTATATTAAACAATTATTAAGTGGGTTGTTTTTTTTTTTAAGAGTAAGACCTTCAACAACCTGCCCACCACTTTATGTTTGTAGCCCTGCCCTGCCTCCCTGCTTATGTCCATCTTGTTAGTTTTCAGTTAACCAGGGGACTTTCTGATTCTCCAGAGTAAGCTCCATACCCACCATTATAGATGCTTATACTGTACCATTTCTTTAAAACACTCTCTGCACTTACTGATATTGATTTGCTCTGATGTCTATAAACCTCAAAGAATCAAGGAATAGTTGATATACATCAAACATTTTCTGAGTGCCTGCAATGTGGCACAGAATATTCAGCGATGAGGAAGAGAGAAGAGGTGTTTGAGCTCCTGGAGCCAGCATTTTATCAGCTGTTGAGACTGAACATGTCCTAAAAAGTGAAACATAAACATTACAAATACAGAAAATGAGCAATTATAGAAAGATAATACAATTATGGAAGGGCAATATATTGGAATATGCCAATTTTTTTATCCATTTATCAGTTGATGGACATGTGGGTTGTTTCAACCTTTTTACTATTATGAATAATGCTATAATCAATATTTGTATACAAGGCTTTGTAAAGACATATGTTTTCAATTTTCTTGGGTAAATTCCTAGAAATGGAATTGCTCACTCATATGGTAACTCTAGATGTAATATTTTGAAAAGCTGAGAAACTGTTTATAGGGAGGCTACAACATTTAACATTCTCACCAGAGTACTTAAGATTTTCCATTTTTCCATACGCTCATCAATACATGGTAGTTTCTCTCTTTATGATTTTATCAATCCTAGTAGATGCAAAGTGGAATCTCCTTGAGATTTTGTTTTTGTCATTACTTTTAAGGCAAAAACGGCATGTAAGTTTCTACTAACCTAATAACATTGAGTGTCTGGTGCACCCCTTGACATTGGATGGCGAGGTGAGCCCCTTAAGGAGTAGCTGAGATCAAAATGACAGAGAACTAAGGAAAGAACATTCTGTACAAAGAGAACTGTTGAGATTCACTCACTGTGGTTGGCAAAATATTAAGGAAAATATTAGGAAAATGTATAAGATTACAGTCTCAAACCTTTTGGAAGGCTGAAAGGTTTTCATTAACAAGTTGAAGGCAACCTGTTCTTACCTTAAAGCATTAAGTCATAGGTGAAGATTAGGGACAATAAAAGCTTCCCC